GAACATTGGTATACAGAAGGGAGGAGGGTCAGGAGGTGTCAATGCAGACCCTCCTGTCACTTACCCCTTGACTACCTGTGGTCTGATCAAGTTATATCTCCAAGCCTCAGCTTTCCTCAAAAACAAAATAATGGTGATACTACCTCCTCAGGGAGGGGAAAAACAAATGCAAGTGCATTCACCAGGCATATCAATAAACATCAGCCCTCCTTTTCTTTTCCTCTCACCTTGATTTAATGGGAAAACAGCCTTTCCCTACTCCAGCCTGTTAACAATTTCCAAACTGACTCAAAAATATGTTGTTCCTGTTATAATTTAGCATATGGCTATTAAAATGTGTATAACATTTCTCTGAACACATGGATTATGTATGAATGCAATTAATTTCCACTGTTAAAGTGCAGACAAAATATTCAAATATATTATTCTAAGCAAAAAAAAAGTAATTGATGAGTTAGATGTAATTTTACAAAACATATTAATGCAAATAAAATCTCTGGTGTTTCTTAGTGCTCAGTCATGCCTTCTTCTATTTCATCTCTCGGAAAAGCACGACAGGGTTTCCATGTTCTCCACTATAATTCTCCTCTCCATTTAGATTGACACGTGGCCCAAGAAATAAATCTTGCAGTCTCGACCCCAGCTAAGCAGTCTGCAAGGACAGGGCAGAAGACATTTATCCTAAACACTAACTGAGGTTCTCTCACTGCCCTTTCTCTGGCTGGGAATTGAGAGAACAAAGAAATCAGCACCTCCATACTTTCCAGGATTCTGTCCCAAAAGACAGCAAGATAATGCAAAGCAAACAACTTTAAAATCGGGGGAGAATCAGAAAAACACAAAATCAATTTTCCGCAATGTAATTTTGCTATTTAACATAAGTCTTACAAAACAAATGAACAACAAAAACAATTCCCCAATTATTTTCCTGAAAATCTAAAAGCTGTGAGAATAAGCAAAACTACTAAAAGTTGGCAATAGCTGGGTTAGATATATGTTTTCTGCAGGTCAAATTTAACAATAAAAAGAGGAGTGATGACAAATATTATATTTATTAACAGTTGTTAAAGGTGTAACTAGCTTTGGGTACACTCAGAAATTAGCTTTTAGTTAAATTTTATTTAATAACTATTGTTCTCAAAATCATGGTGTAGCAAAACTAATTGTCCTCCTTGTCAGTAATGTGAAAGTTTACGTTGCAACTGTCAATTATTGCAGAGAAATTTATTAAATTAAAGAAATCATCCTGAATTATGAAAACAGGATTTTAAAGGCATTTGTGCAAGTCACCAGAAGAAGAAATCATAATAATGAAACAAGAAGAAAACGGTAACAGTAACTTCATATCAGGAAGGAATTTTTTAAATTAGTTTTTATTTACTTTCCTGAGTGCCATAAACAGAAGAATAAAATTCATCATGACCTCACTTTTGTTATACAAAATAGAATTTTCTTCATCGATGTGTGATAAAAGAAGTGAAGAAATAACTGTATTTTTTAATACATATCATTGAAAAATAAAAGTTTTCAAAAGTCAGAGAGGAGAATAAATTAATTACATTGTAATTAAAATAGTTTCTTCAATTTCCCTTTTTCATGCAAACAATGCTAAATATCCACTTCACTTCTCCTCTGGTTCCAACGTAGAGTCTGATTTGACTTGATGCACTGTATCATTAGCTGCTTACAGTATCAGTACAAGGTAAACAAAGCACCATCCCACTTTTACTCAAGTGCAATGCTTGCAAGGATGTAACAGACATAGGAGCTTTTCCACACGCTTTTTACTAACTGCATTGAAAAGTGATTATTTTATTTAAGAAACAGTTATCCATATAGCACAAGATTCTTTTAACTAGGAAAATATAATCTTTTTGGTATATCAAATGCATGCACATTATTTTCCTATTGCATTATTTTTATATTCTAAAGGCATTGTTTGTTTGCATAAATATAGTAGCTATTTAAACCACTAGCCTTTCATAAAAATTAGAGAAAATAAACTATCTTTTTTTAAAAAAGGCTATATATCTTTTGTAGTTAAGAATATAAGAGTACCTTGATAAATATGTGCTTGAAACTTTTCCCCCTTATATATAACACCACCAGTGTGGCTGCTTCATGCATACTGAGAAAAAAATCAGTGTGCTACTTGCTAGCTTATATCTGTGTAAGAATAAATATAAGAAGTAATTAAATGTTTATTCTTAATGATGAAACTTGCTTCTTTTAAAAACGCTTGGACAGACCACACACTCAAGACAGAACTCTTAACTGCAGCTTTCTTTCTCTACAATGTTCAAGACTGGGAAAGAAACTAAAATTAATTCAGTAATCCAGGATTTTTCAAAATATCCAAATTTTGGCATCCCATATAAAAGTTCTAAGAAATTTAACAGGCTGTTTTAAGTTTGTGATGATTTCTTTGTCACAATTCAGATAATAAAATACTTAAGGTCAGTTAGTGGTCCAATAGCCAATTTCTGTATCTTCTTTCCCTCACCCCCCACCTTCACCTCCCAAGCCCTCTTTCCTTGCAAAGTAATTTTTTTCTCTCAATAAGCAGTTGAAAATAATCTGCATGATTAAGTTGATCAGAATCTGGATGAGTTGCTTGCTAAATGAAAGAACAGTAGTATTCTTCCATGAGAAACCAGTAGGCGGTGCTAACTCTAGGAGACCACATTCAAATATTTTACACCAAAAAACTCATAGAATAGGTGACCAGTTTAAAGAGTTGTAGAATTCCCCATATGATTCATGGAGGGGGAAATTTCAAAAATCTGAATGTAATAGATAGAAATGTAACCTAGATATATAATATAATCAACAACGAAAACTTAAGATGACTAAAGATGCTTAGCATGATCCTTATTTACAGAATTCAAAGTACAACTACACATTTGTTCCCACATTAAAATCCTATGAACGTCGTCTTCTGCCTCCTTATGGTTTCAATCTCATTTGGAAACATCATACAGTACAGCTTCTTAAGACACAACTACACCCCCTTAGGGCAGCAACTGGTCCTTAGTGCAAATTCTGGTTTATTTCTCAAGTTTTTCCTTTCTCACTTACTCTGTCTCTCTCTAAGAACTAAATGACTTACAACCTGCAAAGAAATATACATGCATTATCTTGCATTTTAAATAAATGAGATTTCTACTTATGTACATTCCTAGGATAAAAATGATAAAAAAAAAAAAAACACAGAATGTTGTAAGTGCCTTTTTTAACATTTTTTTAGCTGTTTAAACCATATTGAAAGACTACATTTTAGTAATGTGCCCACTACACACACACAAAAAAATCAAATCTTAGTAATATTATATTTGTGTCAAATCTTAGATGTATGCCCTACAAGATATGAAATCTGGAAGTCCACAGACAGGACATAACTATCTTCACTACATAAATGCAACAGGACTTCCTTAACAGAGAACAGCCACTGTGAGTACAAAAATAACTCAAACGGCAACTTCTAAAGACCTTTAAAATGAGAGAGTTCATTATGAATAAAAAAATATAGCTTTCTAGATATTACAATAAATTTTAATCTTCCACAGATAAAGGATCATTTGACTCCTAACTCTTTCACTACAAAAAGTAAAGAAATATAGGCATAAAACTTTTCATTCCACAAACTGAGGTTACAGACTTAGAGAAATATTTGCCTGAAAAGGCCATAGTGTAATATGTTATCAACCTGTCTGTTACCGGCCCTTCTGTATGTTGGAATTAGTTTTCATGTCTATAGGTAACCTAGAAGAAAACTTAGAGAGGTAAGAAGTTATGTCATTTGCTTTATATCCGTTTTAACAGAATCCAAATTATATATATACACATGATAAATTTAAGGCTGAACTTTTCATTTAAGAAAAAAAAAGAAAGAAAATCAAAGCTTCAAAATCAAATCATTTAAATAATAGTTACCCTCCACATTTTAAGATTTAACGCATGAGACGAAATTTATTGGGACAGCAAGTTTTCCAGCAGACTCTGTCACTGTTTTAAGTTGCAGAAAAGGCCTTTTATTACCAACTGGTACATCTCCAGAAAGTAGTGCTAGATTACACTGGAAACATGCAACAGGACAATCATAAAATTCCACAGAAGACATTCAACACTGAGCACTGTACGCTGCCACCACACCGAAATCAACCACCACCATCATCAACCCTATCCAGTCCTCTGCCCAGTTCTCAGTGGATAACTACTGAACCACCATCAGGTGGCTAAAACGAGGGCAAACACTGTCTCTCTAAAACTCAAATAAAAGGCTATTTTGTACCTTAGGGGTGTAATCTCATTAATGCAAACTAACAGTTTCGTCCTCAATATTAAACCCAACTGACCATCGTAGCAAGTAACCATTTCCCCACCTCCTGGAAGACGCCAGCAAGCACTTAAAATCAAAGCAACACAACAGGGAAAGGAAAGATCCAAAGGCAGCACCGCTAAGAAAGCAAAATCCTTCGGAACAAGCCAAGCCGGCTGGGAAAGACCTACTGCGTTGTTTACTCATGGCCAAGAGGAGGAGCGGGAGTCGAGCGTGCCATCCTCGGGGATCTGGAAAGGTCTCGAGCTCCCGGGCCGCGTGGCCAGGAGCCAGCCCCTCGGGAGGATGCTGCCCCTGCCACCGCTCCCCCCCGTCGCCCGGGCGCATCCTCGGCCCTCGCCCCTCCAGCTCTGCAAGTGGCCCTCGGAGAACTTACGGGGCCCGCCGGCGGCCGCGCAGACGCCCCCGCCGCGGAGCCGACCTGGGCGCAGCCGAGGGAGGGACAGTATTGTGCGCGCATCCAAACGCGATCCCGAGGCAGGGGACAGACTTTGGCTTTCCCTGGCTCCCGGCACGGCTTCCCCACCGCGGGCTCGGACACTGCCCGGAGGCGCGCGCGCGCACACACACACGCGCGCGCACACACACACACACAGATCTCTTTGCCAGGACCAGTGTTGCCACTGCAAACCCGGGAAACGCCTCCAAGGGGACCAAGTACCTGCTCTCTGCGAGCTGCTCAGCTGTTCACTTCATCCTCCGTTGACAAGGAAACCAAACCGCACTTCATTTTTTTTTTTTTTCCAGAAAAACCTTCCACTGCCATCATTTGAAAATTGATTTGCGGGGAGGGGAGGGAGAGAAAGAAGGGATAATATAGATATAGATATCAGGATATCTATCATAAAATTATCTCGGTTTTTTAAAAAAGTCGGATGTGCAAAAGTCAGTTAATTTAAAGGAGGAAAAAAGTATTTTGCGTAAAAATAATCCCAGTAACCAGCTGCAAGAAAAGTTTCATGTTATCAATGGGTATCAAAAACAGGAGGGGAAAAAAACGAATTTGTTCTCACCGGCTTCCAAAAAGGGCACAAAAAAATAGAAAATTAATATCTTTTTTGCTCAGTGGTTTGTACCTGTATTGCAAAGCCACAAACTTGTAAACACTGCCGTAAAATCCCACCTCTACAAAAATCTTATGAGAAAAAGAGTATGCCCAAAAAAAAAAAAAAAAAGAGTTAGAAACATGCTTTTTATTTCTACAAAGGAAAAAAAATAGGCACCATACTTCACATCGCTGTTTTTCCATAAAACCAGTTGCATATTCTGCCAGACTCCGGAGTCGCTCCCACCGGCACGGCCGCCGCGGACTCCCGGACACAGCGCCTCGTCTACAGAACCATCGCATGCTAGAAAAACTTGGATTCAGGAAAAGGCTCAAAACCATGCTCGTCCAGCTTTCCCAAATATAAACAATAATCAAAGAAGTGGAAAAAAAAAAAGAAGAAAAAAAAA